AACTTGGAATCATAGAATCATGGAATGGTTTGGGTTGGAAGGGACCTCAAAGATCATCTAGTTCCAACCCCCCTGCCATGGGCAGGGACACCCTCCATTACACCAGGTTGCCCAGCTTGGATTAGTACAGCGGGAAAAACGTGACTTTTTGGAAAGCGCGCTCGTTTAGAAGCTAAAAAATGCGGTAGGGAGTACGTGCTCGAAGTGTTAGAATTTTAAACTAATTTTATGATGATGTTCAACGTGAAGGAAACCGATCCCGTGGCCTTCACGCGTGCGAGTGACTGGGTTTCAGGTAACATCATCGAATACACAAGAGGGGGAAGGAGGGCAAAATGAAGTATATCTCTTAAACATTAAAAGCCCCGTCTCGATTTGCTGAAAAGAAAAATCGGAACCAAATGAACTCACTGGATAAACATCCTGTTTGGTTTTGTGTTTGGGTTTTTTTATTATAAAATTTTTATTGATTTTATATTTAAATTCTAGATGCTTCACAGATGAGCTAAAGTGGAACCGTGTGGATTTTTTTTTTTATTTTTGTAATAAAAGCTCTGTTTTAAGACATGTGGAATCCCTCAGAACATAGTAGTATTGGGCTTCAGGACAAAGTTAACTGTAAAGAGGAACAGGAAACAGAGAAAACTGAGAGACTCCCAGATCAACAGGCAGAGCAGAAAGATACATAGTAAATATTCTACTGATTTTTTTTTTCTTTTCAGCCTCAGCATTTAATATTATTTGTAATTAACTGAAGAAGTAGGTGGAAAAAGCTCTTTATGGAAATTAATAAAGTCAAACATAAGAGGGAGCTCTTCCTACACCTGTCTGGCTTTTCCCTATCGTTACTTTTCAAAGACTGATTCAGCAAAATAATTCCTGTGTAGGAATATATTTAAATGCTTTCCTAAATGGCAAGCCTTGTTTGGGGGGGGGTGGGGGTGGTGGTTAAGTGAAGCAATTCGTACCCTTACTTTAGTTATTGGTGATCAACAGTGTCTTTACATGACAAATTCATGCTGATGTGGGTTTTTCACAAGACTGGAAGGTGAAGAAAAGTCTGAAAATGTAAAAATGTTGTCTGAAGCAGACTGTGGTGAATTATAGAAAAAACACCACCCCAAGAACTGTTTTATGTGAACATATGCAATTTATTCAACAGGGTAATTAATTGAGAGGAATAAAGTAAAATAGATATTAAAAAACATTTGCAAATTAGAATACAGTGAAATATGTTCTAAAACTATTGAGCAGTTTGATAGAACTGACCGAGATGGTCCTGAAGCTATCTGACAGTTTTGTACCAAATTCTAGTAGTTTTAAAAAATTTTGTGCACGCTTTCTGTGCGTAACTCTTGCTGAATGTGAGGCTATTATGTGCAGACTGTTTTCTTATAGCAGGCGCCATTACTGCTGTTTAAAAATGTGTAGCTCATGCAGAGTGGTCCTTTGGGCTGTGCTTCCCAGTTATCATGTGGGCAGAACTTCCTCTCAAGGACTGGTGAAAGCAGAAGGATTTTCCCCTTCATCATTCCAGTTTTGTTGATGGCTCCTTGTCTTCATCCAGTTCTGGGGCAGCTGAGGAGGTAGCAAAACTCCCCCTGACTGCACGTTGCAGGATCAGGCCCTGGATGTTCTTTCTTGGCATTACAGTTTCACACTTCTGTATGTTGGTGTAGGAAGCTTGTGCTAATTTGAGAGTCTGGTGGGGTTTTTTTATGACTGAGAGTAATAATTTTTTTTAACTTTAGATCTGTAACTTGGTTTTGTAGAATTAAGTCTATATGTATAATATATAAACTTTTTATTTTTATATGTTGTTATATAAATTGTGTGTATAAATATATATATTTTTATATATACACACACACACACGTGATAAAATCCTACTTGATGTTAAGAGTTTGTTGGATACCAGAAATATATATACACATACATGGAGAACTTAAGATAGTAAAGATGCTTTTTATTTAAGTTGAAGATTCAAGTTTTAAAATTCCTTTGTTGTTTGTGACCACCTGTGGTTAAATTAATAAAACTTAGAGCTACGAAAATTGCCCCAAGCTAGATGATCAGATGAGGTATATTAACTAGATAAAAATTGTCTGAAAAAACTACCACCAAACATAGTTATTATTTGGGTAATTGCTGCGTTACCACAAAGGGCGTGATCGTAGTCAATCTGTCGATTAATAGACGGTCTGAAGTCTACTTTTGCCGTAAGCCTAAAGAATCAACTGCCAAGCAAGGCAGCGTCCTGAGGGTTTCTGGTGACCTAGACCTTGAGGTGATGGAAGTTCTTTACAGTACTCTGGCTGCTGCCCTTTCTGCCAAGTTCACATGTTGCCGGTGCAGTCATTTTCCAACCACTGCTTTCAGTGTGGTTGTCCATTTTAAATAAATAAACAACCGCAACTGAAATGCAATGCGAAAGGTGGAGAAAAACCCAAAGTAACAACAGGAAAAAGATGTTTTAATTTCCCTGGTTTTATTAGAGACTTTTGCTGCGGGCTCACGTGACACTGAAATTCCCTTCCTATGGGCTTCTGCAAAACTGTGGTACTCATAGAGCGTTAAGAATTTTCAGAATAAATTCTGTAAAGATCTGTACTGATTGTTGCTAAGTTACGTGGCTGCTGATTGTAAAAAAGGACTAGCGTTCATTTTTGCATGAGTGGTAAGAAGGAAGTATTTAATTTTCCGAGCTTCAGATGTTGTACCGCGAAATGAGACTCCTTGTCACGTGGTGGCTAATCCAGTCGTAATAGCTGGCAACTTTTGTGTACACGCCAGGGTGACCAGCCTCCCCACAGTTCTCACCCCAGCTCACTAGACCCCAGACATACGCCACGTTTTCTGCGTCAAAACAGACCAAGGGTCCTCCTGAATCACCTTTGCAACTGTCTATGGAGCCGTCATAAGTACCTGGCGCAAAACAGGAAATAAAAAGCAAAAATAAGCTCATATACAAGCTAGCACACAAAACAGAGCTCAGGAGGTTTTTCAGGCCCATATTGCATCCTGACAGATGTTTGCCTAATGGTCACTGGTAAAGGAGGTTCCTAACCTCTTTGGTGTATTACTTCTCATATCTCTTTAAGTGTGGGGCTTCTCTTTTTGTGGCTGGCCCAAATTCTCCTCATTTGCTTTGATGTCAGTGATGTGAGTCTTGTTTTACCCTGTGCAATGGAGAAGAATTCAGCCATATTGGCTATTATATCATTAGAAGTAGCTCACAAAAAGTGAACAAGAGCAGGAGGAAAAAGGTAAAAAGATTTTTAGGCTGATTGCCACGGAAGCCAAGCTATTGTCATACGTGTATGCCTGCGCGTCTGCCTTTGGTGTCCTCTCTACTCAATAATTTCTTGGCTGGTTTCATCTGTACAGAGCTGAACAGAGAAGCAGAGGCCTCAAAATTATTATTTTCTCTACCAGCTTTACGAAAATAGGTGGGCAGGTGCAAGAAGGAGAGCGTGTGAATGCTGGGATGGGAAGGAGAGCAACTGTCCGTAAGTGCCCTCAACTGCAAGGTCTCGGTCGCAGTGCGGACCTTTCCCAACACCAGGTAGTGGCCCTGAGGCACAAGTGTGTAGGATCCAGTGCCCTTTAGAAGTTTCAGTGCTCACGGAACTACTTGTTTGCAATTCAGCAAATACAGTGCTCATGAAAAACCGAATTAAGAGTGAAAGATGTGATATAAACAGAAACACTGCTACAGAGCTAGAATATGATTTACACTTTGTCCTCTGTACTCAATAAAAGTTGACTAATTTCTGACACCCTTACTACACTTTTCTGCTTGGTTGATTGACCTAGTATGAAGGAACCCATACTAAGCCTGAGTCTCCAAGTTTTTAAAAATGTAACCTCTGTCTGGAATCTCTACGTTACTGAGAAAAAGTTTTGTGAATTTTTCAGAGTTTGAACTACTAATCCCATCAAACGAGATTTTATTGCCTTTACTCAGTTTAATTAATATTTTCTTGTATAGCTAGCTCCTGTGGATACTAGCCCTTAACTCCAAAGTTTGTATTTGCATCAGGGAGGGGAAGCTAAGCCCAGATACCCCTTTTCTGATGATGTCCCATGTGATACTGTCTTTGGTAAAGTATGACCACTTGAAATACACTGAAGACCAAAGATATAAGTTACGGAACTTGCACAGTAGACAAACCCAGAATCTTATAGATGTCATGCTGAATTTATCACAGATCATTTGGCTTTTATGTCTGGGTTTTGTTTTTCTCGTTCAGTAGTTTGTTTAAATACTGCCTTTACTTTTTGATTTAAAGAACAGTTGAAACTATCTGCCCTGTAAGTCGAATGCTCATGGCTCTTGTAGTCATGTATTTGGCAATACCTTTCATTACTTGAGAAGCAAAAAATGTGTATTCAAAATCTTTATTTTAGTACTAGCAGTGCCAACCAGCTTCCTGGCCAGACTAACCTTAGTTTGAAAAGTTAATCGTATTTTTCCTGGGGTGCAGTGTGGCAGTAGCAAATGTCTAAGCAGATGAATAGTCACATTCTAGTCAACAGGACTTCCAGTGTGCTCTAAGACAGGCATTTGCTTAAATACGGTGCTGAGTCAGAATTAAACATAGTAAAGGCAGGAAGCTCAGTGGGCTGTAAAGTGCTTGTGTATTTAGGAAACACAATTCAAATTGCATGCCAAAATTTGCCCACAGAATCATAGAAACTTGGCATAGTGTCATCTTAACTCTGTTTAAAAACAGATACACAATGGTGAACGCATCTAGGCTCCAATGGCTAGCACTTGGCTAATGGTGACACTGTGGCAATCAGTTTATTGTCTTTCCCAAGCCTAAAAGATTCTCAGCCAGTATGTCTGACTTTATAAACAGTATTTGATGGTAGAGAAATTATAGTAAGAAAATTGATTCTTACCTGCACATGCCATTTTTTTGAAAAATCGTCCTGGGTATAGTTCAGAACAATTCTGAAATAAATTAACATTGCCCCACTTGAGGGTATATTGTTTGGTGTAACCTAGAAAAGAAAAGAATAAACTTTTCTAAATTAAAAATGGTAAGTACATATTGACACTTTTAATATCATAAATTGGAAGTTATATATTTGCTTATCTATAGAATATAATATGCAATATTATAAGCCAGATACCTTAAACTGCCACTACCACTTAGCACATATGAATTGCAGTACCTTGGCCATATGTTTCAAAATAAAAGCAGAGTGGTTTAATCGCAGCGTTAAATACAGTACTTCCATTTTGTGACATTTTCACGCTTTCCTGTCTTCCTCAGGTTTTTTTCTGTGTTGTCGTATCAAGGTCTTCAGACACCAGGAAACTGGTATATTGTTTTCTATGAAATGGAGATGTGGCTCTGATCATCCTTGTCGCCTTTTTTCCAATTCTACTCTGCCTTTTCAGGATGAGTGGACCAGATATTGAAGATACAGGTGAACTACATATTCATAGGGTTAAAGAGATTCTCTGTTTTGTTGTCTGTTTGCTAGTAATTCCCAACTTTGCACTTGCTTTATGGACTGCTACTGAGTATGGACAGGAGAAGCCTCACGACCAGCATGCAGTGGCTCCAACGCCAGGTTGTAATCACTGTGATACAAAACAAATGCTCCCCAGATCTTCGAAAGCGTGATTACGTTTGGCTTATCTGTCTCTGTGCAACCTTCTCTGGGCTAAACTCAAGCATGGGTGAGAAAAGATGTGCCAGGATTTGTAACTGGTGGCTGCAGCTCAGGTCCTCTTGGGCAGGGGGCAGAGGAGGGGCTTTTACTGTGGGCCACTGTGAGCTACTAACCGCCACTTGTTAAATATCCTTACGAGGTCTCCACAGCTAATATAAATCTTAGATTGGCAAAAGGAACATTTCTTATTGCCAGGGCAGTTTTCAACCAAGGCTGTGCTCCAGATCAGCTTACTGAGTGGCTGCAGCAGCAGAGGAAGCCGTACAGAAAAGAGAGCCAACAGAGAGAGCCCAATGCCGAACCACAGCCTACGTTTTCTGTACTCAGCCTCTTCCGAGTGCTTTGGGCACAACTACTCTTCAGCCTTTTCAAAATGAGAGCTCACTACAATTAGAAAACGAGTGATACAAGTAATAAGATTCTAGCAGTAAGCACTAAAGCAAATACCTTTCTCTAGTCCCCATCCAGAAACCTTGCACCTGTCACCAGACTTGAACATATACTCTGACCAGGGGATACAGGCAGGTGTGGTGTATTCCAGGGAGCATTCTTTCCCAAAACCTCGCAGCTCCAGCAGAGCGATGTCATTTTCGTAAGTTGATGCACTATAATTTTCATGGATTATCAGTTGCTTTAGTCTGAAAGTATCGGTCTCTTTGTTTAACAGTATTATATCCAACAGTCCAGTCCAGATACGATACTGATGAACTCGATTTGCCCTGGGAAAAAAAGGGTGAAATAAAATATGTTTTGGTACTTAACACAAACACTGTACATTTGAACTAGCTGTAAACTTTTGCACTTTATCAAAGTTTTTCTAGAATAAAAATTCATATTATATCCATATAGTTTCTTTCTGGACTTGACACAAGACAGATGACACTTACTGCTGAGTACTGCAACTAACACAGAAAAAAATACTAAAGGCCAGCCTCTGTGGTTGGTGCTGTGACAAAGAGAAAGCAGGCATTTATGTCTCTCTCATTTCAAGTGAAAGAAGAGTGAGCAGATGTGGATGGGATGCCAGGACTGGAAAATCTTTGCTGTCTGCTCTTGCTTATTCTGGGGAATATATGACCCCAGGGACATTCTCAGGGAACAGATCCTGGACTTCCCTAAGGTAGAGATGGAGAGGAGAGGAGGATGTATCTCCCTTTCAGGCAAAGTAAGGATGTAACTCCCTTTCAGGCAAAGTGGTTATGGTGAACCTTTCCTGCCTGCCTACTGTCTGACTGAAGAATGTCATATCTCTTCAAACTCGTCATTACTTTTCCATCTTTCTATTCGCTGCCAAAACATTCTACTTTCTTTGAGTCTTGCCCATCATTACTGTGGGTGAAGCAGTGTTTTAAATTGTTTTATTCAATAGGCAAATAGGAATTAGCCAACAGGTAGCTAAGAAGGGCAATAATATCCAAATCAATCTTTGTGCCTTGCAAGAAGAAAATAATTTCCCAGGTTTTTTTTTTTACCTGACACAGTGTGCAGCAGTCAGAATCCAACAGCCACCAATATAAACCCCTCCACAGTACACTGTTGAACCTTCATTGTTAGTATCTTGAATTGCCACTTGCCAAGGGAATTCACCCTATTCAAACAACAAACACTCAAATAATGTGAAATCATAATAATTGTAGTATTTTTAGTGCATAAAGGGAAACACACTTCTTGGTATCACCTCATCTCCTTGACTGTATCTGACTGTAAATAAAAAAATCTACTACCCAGAAATTGTGACTTGGGGTCCATCTGATATAAAGGATACATATTCTAAAATGCAGTAGTTTTGTTTAATTTTCTGACTTTGCACGATGCCTCCTTCCCTCCAGCTTTCTGTCATGAAACACCTTGTAGTCAGGGAAACAGATGTAGAATCTGACCTGGTGTGATTGAGTATAGCATTTTTGACTGTATTCTGTTCCAAAGGTGCAAATTTAAATTCCATTTTGTCAATATTGTTATTTCTATCGCATTAAGTATTTTGCTGAATCGTTTTCAATGTGTACTTGTATTATAATGCTCAGTTTTGCAGCTCCATATTTTACTTTATAAATTGTGCTTCTCTTTACTTTTGTTCAGTGCAATGCCACTACTGCTGCAAAACATGAAATTAGTGTTGTGGCTGATTTTGTTATTTCCGTACACTTTAACAGAAGGACAATACTGCCCATTTAAATTGATACTGAATGAACTCGTAGCTGGTAAGGTGTTTTTTTTACCTTTCTTGCAGTCTCTCCACCTACAATTCTTTTCCGTCGAGTTAATGTGTGATTTGTAATTCCGCAGTGTACTTGGGGAAGAAGTGTCTTTATCATTTTTCTTTCTTTAACAAAAAAGAAGAATATGTCTCAGAATTCAGGTATCCATTCTCTCTATTTGGAGACAGGTTTATCTTTATCTTCAAAATCTGAGTGCGGTGAATATGCCAGTAGCTGAAGTAGCAGGAAAGCAAAGATCAAAAATTTTGGCATCTGTTTCTGCTTTGAAAATAGCTTGTGTCTTAGCGTCAAATTACTTCTCCTCATTTTCCACTGCTGCTTGCATTCAGGCAAATAATTTAAAAGCAGTTCCCCTAGATTTGCTGGGAGTTTACCTCTACCAGTTGCCAAAATGTGCAGATGTGGGTCCGCAGTAAGGATGAATTATTATGGCATTCTTGAAATCAGTGGAAAATGAGACAAATAGTAAACCCCAGAGGGTGTATTTCTAAATCATGAAGTCCAAATATCTGAGCGTTCTGCATCTGACCAACAGGCTGGTATCTAGAAAGCCATTAATGGCTAAAGGCACAATGCTGCTGTTTTTGGAGAGTTAGTCCCACTTACCTTCATCCATACTGTGATTTTCAGCACCTTTGTCTTTGCCTGTAGTAGAATAACAAAATACAAAAATATTGGCAAATGTTTGAATTTGTTCTATTACTTGAATATGTGTTTGTGTGCCAAAATCATGGCAGACGTTTTGAATCATAGAATCATAGAATGGTTAGGGTTAGAAGGGACCTTAAAGATCATCTAGTTCCAAACCCCCTGCCATGGGCAGGGAAACCCTCCACTACACCAGGTTGCCCAAAGTCTCGTCCAACTTGGCCTTGAACACTTCCAGGGATGGGGCATCTACAACTTCTCTGGGCAACCTGTTCCAGTGCCTTATCACCCTCAGATTGAAAAATTTCTTCCTTATATCTAATCTAAATCTCCCCTCCTTCAGTTTAAATCCATTGCCCCTTGTCCTATCACTACACACCCTTGTAAAAAGTCCCTCTCCAGCTTTCCTGTAGGCCCCCTTTAGGTACTGGAAAGCTGCTATAAGATCACCCTGGAGCCTTCTCTTCTCCAGGCTGAACAGCCCCAACTCTCTCAGCCTGTCTTCGTAGGAGAGGTGCTCCAGCCCTCGGATCATCTTCGTGGCCCTCCTCTGGACTCGTTCCAGTAGCTCCATGTCCTTCTTGTGTTGGGGACTCCAGAGCTGAACACAGTATTCCAGGTGGGGTCTCACGAGAGCTGAGTAGAGGGGCAGAATCACTTCCCTTGACCTGCTGGCCACGCTTCTTTTGATACAGCCCAGGACACGGATGGCTTTCTGGGCTGCCAGCGCACATTGCCGGCTCATGTTGAGCTTCTCATCCACCAGCACTCCCAAGTCCTTTTCCTCAGGGCTGCTCTTGATCCATCCTCTGCCCAGCCTGTACTTGTGCTTGGGATTGCCCCGACCCACATGCAGGACCCTGCACTTGGGCACACCGTTTCACATGGACAGCAATGCTCTCTCAGCCTGGTGCCTGCTGTTTCCTTTCCTACTAGACAACCTTTGGCTGCCTCCGCCTACAAATGACCTACATCCAGCAGATAATCTTTCATAACTACATGACAGCTACTCTGCTTTCCATCCGCAGGAAGCCCTTTGGCTAAGAAACCCTGAGAAATTACTTTTTTTCTTTGGTTAGTTTTGATCTCTAAAGTGATATCCCATTGTCCTCCACTAGAAAACAATAGAAAGTCCTCCTCCTGCCCCATCAACCTTTTGGAGCTTTCTAAAGCCCAAAGGAGCATTGGGTAACAGATTTTTTTTTTTCCAGTTTAGATGATGCAGTTGTGTACCATGTGCCTTGTTTAACAGGGAGGATATTTGACATGAGAGGTATATTAAACGCTTCCTGAATCTGGTTTGTCAGCTTTTATTCAAACAAAATGCCCATTGAATTCAGTTCCTAAATGGAGGTTGAGAATTGAGTCTGTTCTCATGTTACTGACAGTGATGTTTACATTTAGAGTTCAGTTTACCTTCACCAGTTACCATTTAGCAATAGTGTTTACTCTTTGGCTTTAGACTTGGTCTCTTCTCAGAGCAAGGAAAAACATTCTAATTTCAAAAGAAAACAAAACCTTTTCAACAGTGAGGGGAACGGCACAGGAGAATTATTATATTGACAAACGAGTTGAATTCCTCATCTGCAAGGAAAATAATTCCTGCCCGCCCTTTCTACGCTTTCCTCATGAATAGGGGATACCAGTTTGATAGATGGCCACGTAAGCAAAAGACATAATCTGCCTTAAGCCTCCTGAAACATCATCTGTTTCTTCCTTCCTTTAGTTTTCTTGCTATTCTTTTCTAGAAGGAAAGGGAGGAAAATTATGTAACCTTTTCTTCCTACTATGCGTAACAGCATTGGGAAGATTAATTCTTGCGTGCATTTTGGTTTTGCTGATCTGTTAAATAATTTAATAATATGCATTGTGTAGTCTCTAGCTATAGTTGAGCAGAATGAAAGGAAAGAAACAACGTCTTTCAGAAGGAAACCTGCACAGAGAACTCGAGCTTCATCTTCTCCTGTGAGGCAGTCAACTTCTTTGTTGCAGACATTCTTATTTGGAATACAGATATCTGACCGACAGTGGAAGCTGTTGTCTCTGCACTCTGTAACACGGAATTACACATGTAAATCACAGGATCATATGATTCAGCAACCTCACGTAGTTAGACAGCTTTTTAAAATACAAACACAACAGAATATCCATGTTATGGGAGACTTGGCTGTTCATAAATAGATCACAAAAGCAGACTCTCTGAAGTGTAAAACAAAATGAATACTTGGCTCTCCTCATTTTACAGTCTTGAAGTTTTAAGACTTAAGAAATGTGGATCCCTGTTACCAGTTCAGTACTGTACTTCTGGACTGGGTATCACTCCTTACGTTTCATCCACAACACATGCCCACACTCAGCCTCAGCTAGAGGACGTCCAGTTTTGCCGGCACTACTGATCATCTCAAATGAGGAATTTATGACGCTTCAGTCAAATTTCCCCCCCAAAATCAGAGCCCAAGATGGCTTTTGGTTGAATGAGCTAAATGCCAGCTTAGGAATCAAGAGTCCTATTTTGAAGGTACTGGATTTAATAACTTAATTTGTCTAAAATTCTTGATTACATGAAATATTTCTAAACTTGAGAACCCGCTTCCTTTTAATTCTTATGATCACTTTGTATGTTATCAAAAGCAAAGCAGTGCTTGAATCTATGGCAGGCTTTTTTGAGCCATTTTATAATCTTATATCAATCTATTATTTAAGGATATATGTCTTTAATAGAAAATAAGATAGCTCTCTAAAAGTATCCAAATATCCTAATATGATCCAAAGACCACGGAACTCAGTTGAAATAATTCTTTTGATTCCAGAAAGCATTGATTTCAGCCCATACAGCTGAAACGGCACTATTTTGGTCAAGTGGAATCTGAATAAATGTCCTCTAATTATATGAAGCCACAGGTATTTATTATTTTTTTCTAAAACGCCTGTGATGACTATGTTTCCACGACTATCAGATAAAATTTACTGACAATTTTAAAACTACAAAATTAAGATTATTTGGGGATAGTGATGGGATTTGTGACCCACATTACTGTTTGGCACCTGAAACCCAACTTCTGAAAGTATTCTTCTGCATTCAGGTCATGCTAGATCCATTCCTTGTTTCTAATCAAAATCGTTACAGCTGGAATTGCAGATGCTGGAAGAATGACTGCTCATGAAAAAGCAATGTGATGGGAAGTGTTCACAGATCTTCTATGGATAATCTTGCATTAGGAATAAATTTAAGAGAGATCTTACTTGGGTTTAAAGATAGTTCATTGGAAAAACAGTGTCTTTGTTTAATTACTACTGATCTTTCCCAACTAAAAATACATTTTCATTCTAACATGACTATTGTTTTTTGTATCAATGTTTAACAGCCTCCTAACTAATCTCATTGTATTTCCTAATCCTCTGAGAAAATGCAGATTCTCAGAGAACACTTGCCTGCATCAAAAAATTGTATTATGCCCACTTCTTGTGCACTTGCCTATACATCAACTATAGTTTGATTGCTTCAATGTAGTGACATTGGAAAAGAGACTTTAGCTGTTACATCACTGTAAACATTCTTTGGGGGTGGTTTTCTACTGAAATAATTTTGAAACAGCTGAGAAAGGAAATTATTACCTCTACAGCACAGTTCATCACTTAGGTCTCCACAGTCATTGATTCCATCACAGGCTTTATTCAAAGAAATGCACTTCTTGTTGACACAAGGAAACTCACCGTCTGAACAAGCTGTGCAGCACAATGAAAACGAAGTTAGTGTGGAATTGTCTATAGGTTCACAACTGCCCACGGAAATACTCTGCTTGCGCATTTTATTCTATCAGCAGTTTTTGCCTCTATCAACAGTAGGCATTCTGGGGCCCAGTAAGGTAAATAGGAATCTTTTTTTATTATTTTAATTGCCTTCTCATCAAGCTTTAAATGTGACCACTTATTTTCCTCCTCCATTTTGCAGTAGCCTGGCAAAAGGGAACTCCATTTCTTCTATACAAGGACTAAACCAGAAATGATTGGTTCAAACCCACTGTAAATGATTCAAGTGATTAAGATGATGGATGTTGCCCCTCTAGGAGGAAGTCATCAAGAGTCTGTGAACTCCTACTTTTGTGGCATAAGAAAAATCTGAGATGATGCATAGCTATCCTAAGCAGCAGCATCTCAGGCTGATGCTTATCAGTGCTAAAAAAAGTCCACTATGGAGAACAGAAAGCTGTTAGAAGTCAAAACGAGGACATGATTCCCCTTACGCCAGTGAGAAACTGAGGAGTTCCCGAACTTCCCAGAATCACAGAATCACAGAATGGTCTGGGTTGGAAGAGACCTTAAAGATCATCTAGTTCTAACCCACCTGCCACAGGCAGGGGCCCCTTACAATAGATCAGGGTGTTTTTTGGCCTGAACCCCCTCAAGAAATAGGCCAGCCATAACTTCTCTGGGCAACCTCTTCCAGTGCCTCGCCACCCTCAGAGTGAAGAATTTCTTCCTTATATCTAATCTAAATCTCCCCTCTTTCAGTTTAAAGTCATTGCCCCTTGTCCTATCACTACATGCCCTTGTAAAAAGTCCCTCTCCAGCTTTCCTGTAGGCCCCCTTTAGGTACTGGAAGGCTGCAATAAGATCACCCTGGAGCCTTCTCTTCTCCAGATTGAACAGTCCCAACTCTCAGCCTGTCTTCATAACAGAGGTGCTCTTGGATCATCTTTGCGGCCCTCCTCTGAACCTGCTCCGATAGCTCCATGTCCTTCTGATGTCGATGAGCCCAGAGCTGAATGCAGTATTCCAGGTGGGGTCTCACGAGAGCAGAGCAGAGGGGCAGAATCACCTCCCTGGACCTGCTGGCCACGCTTCTTGTGATGCAGCCCAGGATACAGTTGGCTTTCTGGGCTGCCAACGCACATTGCCGGCTCATGTTGAGCTTCTCATCAACCAATCCCTCCAAGTGTTTCTCCTCAGTTCTGCTCTCAACCCATTCTCCACTCAGCCTGTATTTATGCCTGGGATTGCCCCGACCCACGTGCAGGACCTTGCACTTGACCTTGTTGAACTTCATGAGGTTTTCACAGCCTGTCAAGGTCCCTCTGGATGGCATCCCTACTCTCCAGCTTGTCAACCACACCACACTGCTTGGTGTCGTCAGCAAACTTGCTGAGGGTGCACTCAATTTCACTATGTCTCTGACAAAGATGTTAAACAGCACCAGCCCCATTCCAACTCCTGAGGAACGCCACTTGTCACTGGCCTCCACTTGGACATTGAGCCGTTGGCCGCAACTCTTTGAGTGCAACCATCCAGATGATTCCTTATCCACCGAGTGGTCCATCCATCAAATCCATGTCTCCAATTTGGAGACAAGGATGTCATGCGGGACAGTATCAAATGCTTTGCACAAGTCCAGGTACGAGCAGTTCCGCTATAGTCATGCTTGTCTGGCTACAGTGCTACTCGTGTCCTAATTGATCTCCCTCATAGACAAAGCAGTGAGTAGGAAGTTGTCACCTGTCTCCTCACCAATTAACCTGGGAGAGACAAGACTTGTGGGATACAGTACACCTTGGTACCCTTGGGAGGGATGGAGGAACAAACAGAACCCTGGGTGAAATATATTTACTTTGGGGAAATACCTTTAAAAATACTTTATGAGCAACAGTGATTTTCCAAACTCATAAACTCAAGACTGCCTTGACTCCAGACTGCCTCAATTGTCTTAAAGGCTGCAAAAGGATTATTTAAAAAAAAAAAAAAAAGTTTCAGTGCAGGTTTGCTGTGGCTGAGAGTTCAGCAAACTAGGTCCTAATTATTTAAAATAAACTTAAAATGTAAGAACCCCAGATAGATATAAAACTCAAAAAACTACTGACCTCTGAGATTTTCATGGCACTGAAGGCTAACAAATCCCTCATTACTATCTCTTGATTTCATCTCTATGTGACATTCAGCAAGACTTGTCTCTAGGCCCCTGCAAGTTATTTGCAGACAGTGCAACGAATTTAAGGCAGATTCTGTGATGCTGGAATTGGCTTGGTAATATTCAGCACCTCTGTGAAGATAGAAATAATAATAACAAATTATATCATTTCACCATGGATTGTCCACTGCTTTTGTTGTTTAGAATTTATCTTTTCCTCAACGGTAAAGAATTTTGGTCATGGCTAAGAAAAAGAGCAGATTTTCCATGGAATCATCTAGGGGTAAGTAGGAGATGTTTACTTTGGAAGAAAAAGCAAAGTGCTAATTTTTGCAGGTTGCTGCATAGAATTGTTCCTAAATCTTTATGTACATGACAGTCACTGTGTATCACGATGGATAGAAAAGTCTCCCCATATAGCAAAACTTGTAAGTTCAGATCTCCATCTCCATGTGGACACAGGTGAGCTGTAATTTGGAAACCACTCTGCATGGGGTCAAGTATCCTTGATAGCATCAAATCCAATGCATATCAAGGAAGCTCAGGCCACTGCAAGGCTAGGATTAATGAATTTTATCTCCCTTGGTTTTACCTGAGCAGTATCCTCCTAACAGCATATGTGCCCTCTACCTTAAAGAAACATGGATGGAGTAAATAAGTAATGAGAGAGGCTCACAATGGGACTCCAGGGCTGAATGCTCTGACCCGGGACAAACCCTTCTCTGCTATCTAAAGAGATACTGATCAGGACTAGGAAATATTTGCTTCTCACCTAGAGGGGACAATTTAGGGCACTGCAATAGCATTTTTAGTCTTCAGGTAAGGTTGAGGAGGCAGCCCTGCCTGACTCAGTTAAATTAGTTGTGTATGTGTAAAATGATTATGTACAGGACATAGAGTTGACTCTTTATGAGGAGCTGAACGTGCAACTCAGGTCAGCAGTGTGGTCGCAGGGAAAACACAAGCTCTGTGTGGCTTCAGCCATCCCCGGGGCCAAAGCAGGCACTGGCAGCGGGGGCAAGAGGTGGGGAGCTCTGGGGCTTGTTAGTCTGGCAGGTGCAAGAGGCAAAAGAGAGCTGTACCCTGCTGTCAGCTGGCGTAAGAAACTTTGCTCTGCATACGAGCTATTGCTCAGAGCTACTGGGGGATGGTCCATCTATGCACTCTCACAGACCTGAGAGAAAACCCCTCCATTGGTCTCCAGCTTTGTTTAAAAAGTAAAACAATGAGGGTTTGTACAGTCATAACCTGTAACAGAACACAGATATCTATGTTTTGGCTTTCGCTCCAGGTGTCAATTTAAGAAGCTTTATCAGAATATTGTAGCCAATACGTTGTTCATGAGTTTTCTGTCTTAACTGTTGGCTGATTGTGACGGACACTTACGTAAGCATCACTACTTTTTCAGATCCCATTATCTAGAGATAAATTCCCCAAACTTACAATTCAAAGCCAAGGTGCTTGCAAGCCACGTTTGCTTCATTCATAGTCCACTCGCTACCACATACAAAAATGTCGTTCTTTTGATTCACAGGTTTTACTCGAAGCAAACTTGAATCTCCATGGCCCAGAGAGATTGAAAATGTTTCTAAAAAAATACAGAAAGAGAGGAATAAAAAAAACCCCCACCACATAAAGTCATATTATATAGATGTATCTAGTGGAAAGATGGCACAGAAACAGATCAAGACTAATTTTGTATTGACAGGCAAAGTTCATATGGAAAGAACGGTAGTCTGGGAATCAGAAGCTTCGGGTATTATTCCTGACTTTTCTGAGGATTGACTTTGTGGCTTTGAGCCTGCCACTTTTTCAAAATATGCTGGTTTCAGGACACATGAAGGTAGTGGTTCCTGCCACGTTAAGAGTACCTGGAGGTCTACCAAGGAAAGGTTGCATCTTAGTATAGTGACTTTCATTAGAGGAGTTTTGATAACCAACCAGTAACACCTCAAGTGAGATGGTCAGATCCTGCTTCTAGTACCTGTGCAGCAAAACTTCCGCCGTTTACAGTGGAGCTGAGGTCCTCAGCTTAACTTAGTGAAGCCATATAGACAGCGTGCCAGGAACACACGGAGGCTCTCCGATCCTTTTCAGTGGAATAGGCAGAATTGAATTTTGCCACCCTAAGCGTGACGGGCTGAGCTGCAACTTTTGTGGGGAAAGGGAGGGGTGGTACTGGGACAGAGACTGGGCAGGAGAGCCGGGGGCCGGGCGTGCTGCTCCTGCTGCATTCAGTGGAGGTGGGGCTGGAGGACAGGTGAGAACAGCAACTGCTACTGCTGAAAGAGGTCACCCCTACTGTAGTTAGCATTTCACCCCGCAGTCAGATGGAGGTTGAGCTGACAAAGCTGCTGGATGCAGCCTAAAGAGCAGGTGAGAACAAACAGCTGCTTGAAACCATCACTGGTTTGCAGGGCGATACCTTTCTGTTTTGACGAAATCCACAGTGTGAAGATGATTGAGGTGAATATGGCTTACCTTCTCCCCATGCGCTCCCACACACACCCCAGCAGCTTGACTCCGTTCCTTGGACTCTTGCTCCTGTGAGGTCTGTCCCTCTCCAAAAGACTCTCTGCCGCTGTGCCTACCACCAAACTCAACACCCTGCTTGGAAACCTTTGAGCTCGTTCCTGTGTCTATTTCTTCTCTTTCTACCTGATGATTTGAGCAACCTACCAGCAGCTGGCTGGCCTGGGCCTGTCAAACACGTGATTTTTTTATGAAAATCAACAGGTACTGCCCATTTTCAATGACTTCTCATTTTCTGTTCAATGTTCTCACCAGTGCAAGATGATGAATAGAATTTCTGAGCTGTCAGTAGTAAGCATCTCCTTTGATAGATTTTGGAAAAGGAGGTGTTAATACCTGCAGACATGCATTTTCCCTTGTGCAGGAACTTTGCTTCGGGACGTTGACACTCATAGCTCTTTAGGTGACAGTAAGTATGGAAGTACTTTCCATTGGTAGAACAAACTGAAGAGCCGTTCTTTGGGCACTGGTAGGGAAGCTTGCAAAGACACTTTCCCTCCACACATCGTTCCCATGGGTGACAAAAAACTTTCTCACAGGACTTGTGTGTGTACCGGTTGCTTAAGCATTCTCCTATGAGGTACGTGTCTTGCTCAGCTGTCTGGGCAGGCTCAACCTGCTGAGACTGGGTTTCTTCAGCATTAGATTCTGCATTCTGCAAGGCACAAGAGTTAATAAAAGGGAGTAAGACTAGGATCTGCACCAAGAGTTCTGTAGATCCCTTCACAGACCTCAACGAAGAGTTCAATCATAAGCCTTTTCCTATCTTACGAGCAGAAAGGTGCTAAATATCATTTATAGTGCTTATTCCCTTGTCTTTGGCCACCTCATCTTTCTCAGTTTTTCTGAACTGTTTTTTGGTTGGTTTTGGATCGTTCACCTGGTGTGATCTTCACTCTTACTGGTCTCCCGCAAATTTCATACTCTTTACTCTTCAAGCATCAGTTGAAGCGCACAGCAGATTATAAATGTTTGTTAAGCCAATGGTTTATAACACACCACAGCAATGGCATTGTAAGCACATCAAAACATAACATTTTCTTCTCTGAAAGGGTTGTCAGCCACTGGAATAGGCTGTCCAGGGAGGTGGTTGAGTCCCCATCCCTGGATGTGTTTAAGAATAGGGTGGATGATCTACTTGAGGATATGGTTTAATGGGGATTAGGGATGGTTGGACTCGATGATCTCTAAGGTCTTTTCCAACCTAGAAATCTATGAATCTATGAATCTATAAGGGGACTTAAACACCAGAAAAATAATAAAAATAGCAACTTGTTTTTTTTCTGAGACTTTTTTTATTGGCTTGATTGGCTTTGGGTTTAGATATCACCTGTAAATACTTATGAACTGCTTAGAAGCAAATAAAGAAATCTAAAATTAATGATTTGTTTCACTGTGTGACTCCTGAAGTGACAAGTATCTTAAAGAAATTTGAATATTAAGTGCCTTCCCTTATTAGCTCTTTTCCTGTATCTTGCACAGCAGCACATTTGCAATGTGGTTGCTGGTCACCACCGGACTGCAAGTCCAGATTCTGACTCTTGCAGCTGCCTCTAGGTGAGTGACTCTGCACCTGCCTTTGTGAGCTCTCTGGTGACTTCGCTGCCAGCCGAGTGCTTTTGCTTACTAACATCTTTGGGTAGGGGGAATGTTGGATACGAAAAATATATACGGATCGACTTTGCATAAAAATGGGAGAGAAAAGGTAGTCCTCAAGTGTGATTTATCAGTTTTGACTGTGTCAACTGAATCAATAGAGCTGAAGTTTAAAGTTCTCGTGAGGAAATCCTGGCCATAGTAAAGTCAGCGGGTATGTCGTTGGGGCAGAATTTAATCCAACAAAACCTCTTTTAACGGTTGTATAATCTTACTAAGTTCCTCCTGCTGTTCTCAGGTCAGTAGAATCCAAACTATAAGCCAGATCCGGCTTGGCATAACTCCCATATTGTACTAGTTGTTTCTCCTGAATAGCAACAAAAAGTGCTGATTTTTATCTAAGGGTTTCTCTAAAAGACTCGGGGCGTGCTGAACGCTCAGACCAGATGGGCTTTCTTGGACACTTGTGCCAGAAGAGATTCCGCAGCAAACCTTCAGGCAGTACGATGTACCATCCTGCCACGTTAAAGGACTGTAACCTCAATTCTCAAAAAAGGAGGGCAGAGAAAATTGCAGCACCTTTCTGTGGTCAACCATGCTTGCAAATTGGATTTAGGACAGGCTCATGATTAAAATCTTTTCCAGAGGCCTGTTAGCATAAACCCCAGGTAGAATCAACACATGAAAGAGAAATTGAAAGCTTCAAATATTCAAGCTGGGCTAAAACAAATGTATGAAAGACAAAATACTATGAAAGGAAACTCAGAAAAATAATCTGGTTTTGCTTTTATAACAATAAACTGATTTTAAACTGTTTTCTTAAAAATAAATTCCTGCTACCACAATAAAATAAATTCTTACCTCTGATCCACAAAAACAAAAGAGAGACAAGAAAACCAAGAAAACTGGGACCACTCGCATGATGAAATTTTGTCTTTGTAGACAAATTCCTCTGGCTGGGATTCTTTTGAATGTCAGTTGTTAGATTAGTGTTTAATTTTTAACCATTAGTAAAATATTTTGAAGTGTGTTTAGAAATAAAGTACAGGAGCCTCAGCTATTAACTGGTGAATCTGATCTCTCCAAAACGATCCCGCCTCAGTTCAACTGGTTTTACTGTAAGTGCAGGATGAGATAAGAAAAGTAAAGCCCTTAAAGTGAATGATTAAAAGGAAGCACTTATTAAGGATACACGTTTCCTGTCTTTTGCCAGAGGGGACTGATTGAATCATCATCCTGGTTCTCCTGATTGTAGGCAATTAATCTTGTAAAGGGTAAATGTGGTTTTATCTGAGATATGTCTTCATACATATGAGGAGAGAGAAACACTCACATCCATGTCATGTCCATCATATGCTCAGCTGGATTACAAGCTCATATTACACAATTTGTACACAGAATTTTCAAGTATTTGACAACTCTTGAAGCATTCTTATAGCAGCCTTCCAGTACTTAAAGGGGGCCTACAGGAAAGCTGGAGAGGGACTTTTACAAGGACCTGTAGTGATAGGACAAGGGGCAATGGCTTTAAACTCTGGAGTTTAAAGTTTCTGAAAACTCTGGAGTTTTCAGCTCTGGAGTCCCCAACACAAGAAGGACATGGAGCTACTGGAACGAGTCCAGAGGAGGGCCATGAAGATGATCCGAGGGCTGGAGCACCTCTGCTATGAAGACAGGCTGAGAGAGTTGGGGCTGTTCAGCCTGGAGAAGAGAAGGCTCCGGGGTGATCTTATAGCAGCTTTCCAGTACCTAAAGGGGCCCTACAGGAAAGCTGGAGAGGGACTTTTGACAAGGGCGTGTAGTGATAGGACAAGGGGCAACGGATTTAAACTGAAAAAGGGGAGATTTAGGTTAGATATAAGAAAGAAATTCTTTACATTGAGGGTGGTGAGGTACTGGAACAGGTTGCCCAGAGAAGTTGTGGATGCCCCATCCCTGGAAGTGTTCAAGGCCAGGTTGGATGAGGCTTTGGGCAACCTGGTGTAGTGGAGGGTGTCCCTGCCCATGGCAGGGGGGTTGGAACTAGATGATCTTTGAGGTCCCTTCCAACCCTAACCATTCCATGATTTTATGAAAGTCGTTTTCCAGGAAAACTTTAATGAAAAGCCAGCAGAACCAAAGCACCCCCTCCCCAAACCACCGTGCGGACAGCACAACGGCTCTCCCACGCTCGGCCCGGGGGCTGTAGTACCGGCAGGAAGCGCACGCGCCCCGCTCCGGTGTTTGGCGCTGCGGGTATCACACCGCGCCCGCAGACCGACACCGGGCTCTGCCCGG